CATGTCAACTAAATTTTCTCAGTTCAGATACACTATTTAGAACATTTGTTTAAAGATCTAATACTCTCAGTTGTTCTGACACTGACATAACTATCTGCTCTTATTGAGCTCATTTCTGAGGTAGTGCTGTTTTGGCCCATGTCGATGTGAGTACACTCTAGAGCAGTGTTTCTCAACTTTCTGTGCATTACCCCCCTTCTTCACCCTCCTCCCTCAAGGAGTTTTTTAGACATTTTTCCCTAATTTCCTCCACAATGAAATTTTAATACCACTGTATCTGTTTATGTACTGTATGCTTTTCTGTGCTTTATACATAAAGGAGTATGATTTTTCATCCCCCAACATCAATATTCACCCCCTTAGAGATAATAGCACCTCTGTTGAAAAAGCATGCTCTAGAGAGAAGTAACATATGAAACTCTTACACTAGGCCTAGAGCCAAGATACTCTTCCTATGGGTCCTTTATATATGAGATTATTTGGGGTCATACCAAACAAGGTTCCCTAAAAACACCATGATTTTAAAGTAGTTCAAGCTAAAAGCTATGCTTCTGTATGTTCACACTGCTCAAAGCTGACTTACTTGACCCCAATAAATATCATCTATAGGAGTGCTTCCTACTACAGGTATTAAAATCAAAACTATTGACAAAATCTAAGAATATGGATAACTGTAACAGGAACTCTTAGAGTTCTTTTAATGCTCTCATTTTATAAATGTTACAGTTATGTTCAAAAATAAGATGTTAAGCAATCTGCTATGCAAAGAAAGGCCTTATAATGGAATGATGATCATGTCCTGTAAGCCCTGATGGTTGGGCTTTCTCTTTTTTTGTAATGCAAGTGCCTGACTTAAGCTTTGATTGCCAAGGCATCCACTTCAAAGATGGCTATCTCAAACACATTGCCACCATACAGACTAGACAAAGAACCAGGCTGCCTCCCCTTACTGAGTCTCCTTTGCTAAAATCATGGTTGATTTTGATAAACTGACCATTTGGACCACTTGTTTTTTCTCTTCCCGTACTTTAAATTCCTGCTCTTATGTTTTAAATTCACCAATAAAAAGTGAGCCCTCGAAACCCTAGGCCCCCATGCTTGACCCCAATAAAAGCAGAACCCCAGGCTCCTACACTCGCTTTCTCTCTGTGTAGCCCCAGGTGTGCCATGTAATTTCCAGGTTCTGTAACTAATAAAACTTTATTTTTTCCCCAAAGTTTCCTGATGGTTATTGCTGAAGGGCATCTTACAATCATAATAAGAACCACGAGGGCTGGTCCAACCACAACACTGATTATTGATAGGCTGAGACCGGCACACAAAACAGATCATTAACAACTTTTAAAACCATATTAATATGGTGTTTCAGTTGGAGATAAGGCTTTTCCTTATAAATTTGTAAGACTGAAAAAGAGTGAACCATATTTAGGGCCTGTACCAACTAAACAATGCCATCTGGCATAAGCACAATAGAAATTAATTTCTTAACCTAAAGAAGAACATATTCTAATAAAATAAAACAAAATTGATAAGACTATAAAATTAAATATTTTAATATTTAGGTATATAATGTACATTTTACTAAAAATTTGATTCATATGAAAAGGGTATATGATATGCATATTATATGAATTTGATTAATGTTGAAGTGGAACAAAATTTGTCAACCTCAAATATGCCTCTTTGGCATAAGGATTATTTTAGGTTATTTTAAAAAAACAGCAGACATGAGAGAAGCTCTGAAAACCAAGTAGAAATTATCCTTTTGTAAGAGACATTTACCATCATGTGCTGCATAATGGGTCAACAATGGACTGAGTATATGATGGTGGTCCCATAAGGTTAGTACCATATAGCCTAGGTGTGTAGTAAACTGTACCATCTAGGTTGGTCTAAGTACACTCTATGATATTTGCACAACAACAAAGTTGCCTAACAACGCATTTCTCAGAAAGTATCCCCTCATTAAGCAAGCATAACTGTATAAGGAAAATTTCCATTTGTAAAGGTGTCTCCCTTGCTGTACCAGAAAGAGGGCAATGACAATCTTGAGAAACTTTTATCAGTGGAGAAGGCAAAGACTTAAATCTGCATAACAACTTAACTCTTGTTTACTGTTACCTCCTAGTTACCTCCCATAGCTAACTCCCCACCCCCAACATCTTTTGTCTTGAGCTATAGATGGTATTTGGCCATTTCTGGGAGGTACTCAGTTTTCCTGGATCTCTCCCACATATACAGGAGGTATACATGTTATTAAACTTTTGTTTGTTTTTCTCCTATTAATGTCTTATATCAATTTAATTATTAGACCAGCCAAAGAACCTAGAAGGGAAGGAGGGAAAATCCATCCTCCCCTCAATGTGAAAGTTTTTAAATTCTCTTATCTCACTGTCATTATGAAATCTAATGTTATTATCAGCATCATGAAACACTTAGCAGCTAGTTATCTTGAAATTAAGTACAATCAGACCAAATCTGGGAGTAAACACAAAGTATTTTCTGATATTCATACTTTGATTTTTTTTCTTAAATAAAATGAAGCTTATCTCATATAACCTAGTCTTTTGTTTGGATAATCCTGCTGACTTATATCTACTGTGACTATTCTAATATAGCAAACCAGAAGATCTTTAGTAAGTTATACTAGAATCTTAGAAAAACTTTCATTAGAAATAATTTAAATACCGTAACTAGAGTGGGGGCCGGCCCCGTGGCGTAGCAGTTAAATGTGTGTGCTCTGCTGCTGCTGGCGGCCCAGGTTCGGATCCCGGACACGCACCAACGCACTGCTTGTCAGGCCACGCTGTGGCGGCGTCCCACATAAAGTGGAGGAAGATCGGCACGGAT